TACTTAAGCAATATCTAGTAACTTATAACCAAGTGAAAGAAAGCATTTTTGATGTGCTTCAGAGTTTAACCCTTGCATATGTTAGAAAAGGCCAAGTGGCATAGTGAGAAAATGGAAAAATAAACCATGATATTTCCAGGTTAGCTGTGATTCTTCGCATAAACATGCCATCTTCTTTTTTCACGACTGCACAGAATTTCTTTAGCTGTATCAACAGCAAAGACGGAAGACAGAAGGGCCTCAGCTGCCCGGACTCGCTTTGCCGCCGGGGGTCCTCAGCGCACCTGGACTTTGTCATCAGGCGGGCCTCCAAGGCTGGCTCCCAACAGTGCTTCATGGTTTGACAACCTTGTCGTAGAGCTTTGTGGTCTGTCACACATAAACACGGACATCTGAAATAGGCTTCTTAACATGAAAGGTATAGCTTAAGATGAACAGAAAAAAGCTACTAGGAGTAATCAGACTAGACAGATAGAAGAAAACTTAAAAAAGCAAAAAGTATGTTGATCTTCTGAGAGACGTAGATTTTTACAACCATGAAATATGAACTAGATACTCTGTAAAAACATACTTTAAAGCAGCGGTCCCCAACCTTTTTGGCATCAGGAACTGGCTTCATGGAAGATAATTTTTCCATGGGGGTGGGAGGGCAGATCATTAGACATTAGATTCTCATAAGGAGCATGCAACCTAGATTCCTTGCATTGATGTGTAGTTCATAGTAGGATTCATGCTCCTATGAGAATCTAATGCCTTGACCACCGCTCATCTTCTGCTGTACAGCCTGGTTCCTAAAAGACCATGACCAACCAGGTGTTGGTCTGTGACCTAGAGGTCGGGAACCCCTGCTTTAAAGAACTAAAACGAGCTTTAGGAAATTAGAAACGTGAGAGCAGAAACAAAAAGACATCAAATGGCTTGCAAGATAAAGTTGTTTCTCAGAAAGTTTGAGGAGGAGGATTCAGAAGTAGGCAGTATAGAATAGTAAGGAATCATATGAGGATTGGTGTATGAGGTCAGTCTTCACAACATCTAAATCGGAAGCTGAGTTGAGAGAGCACTTTCAGAATTCTGAAAGAAGATGATTTCCAAACTAGAATTCTTTACCCAAATTATCAAGTGAGAGGATAAAGACATTTTCAAATGTACGATATCTCAATATTTACCTCCTCTGCATCCTTCCTCCAGAAGGTATATGAGGATGTACTTCATGAAAACAAGAAAATTGAAGAGAAAGACAAAGATACAAGGAACATGATCTCTAATAATATAGGATAAAGGCATAGGTAAACATAGTATGCTAGTGAAAGGACAGCATAGTCTGACAGCTGTCCCAGGTGTATAGGACCTCTGGTTCATATTGGAACAGATCAGAAGACTCAAAGACAGTTTTCAGGTTGGTGAAATTGATACATCTGAATTGTGAAAAAACTCAAAATGGAGATGGTTATGTCAGAGTATCTAAAAGGAGGACATGAGGAGTTGCACCCCAGTCACTTATACATCCAGATGGAATTTGATCTGCTGAGTTGGGATAAAGCATAAAACCAACTGCATTTGATTTGAACAGTTTATACTGGGCCTAATCACCAACCTCCTGGAGAGACAGCTATGTCCAACTAGATTGACCATCTACTAGAGACATCCTAGACTGATAACCAACTGTTATCAATCATGGATTGTGTTAAAAACGTCCAGATATATACATTTACAATAATCCTAACAAGCCCCTGCCTACCCTTGGTTAGATGAAATATGATGTAGCTACTTGCTAGATTTATGTCTCCTGAATTGCAATTTCTAAGACCCCAGATTAAACTGCCTTTTCTTTTGTTTGCTACTGCAATGTTTTATTTCTTTTGACAGAATTAGCATCTTGAGAAAAAATAGTTTAGGAAACTAGTAAAAGGCTGAATTAGTGATAAATATAGAGCAAATGGAGCAAAGGCAATGATGACAGTTACTAATTATGGTTATGGGGAGAACAAAGGATTGTGCAGAGATTGAAAAATAATCAGTTTACCACGTGCCTTAGTTGTGAATTGCATTTACAGAGTCACACTAATATAAAGGCTGAACATTAATCTAAACCAGTAATTATCAACTGAGAGTGATATTGTTCTCCTCAGGGAACATTTGGCAATATCTGGAGGTATTTTTGGTTGTCACAGCTTGGTGGGTAGTACTGTTGACATTTAATTGGTAGAGGCTGGATGTGGTGAGCAGCACAGTGTCAGACATGACCACACACTTGTGTCTTTCCCTGAGGTTAGACTTTTATTGATGCTATTTCAGTCAGAAGAGCCAAGAACTATGTGGAGTCCCCAAGGAGGCAGTTTTTATTGGTAGTCAGAGCTGCAGGCATGTAGTCTCAAGCCAATCCACGAGTCAGTCAGTTTTGCAAATTATGTATAGTAGTATACTTAATATATAAATGTTATAGATTAAACATTTCACATCAAAGTAACATTTACCAACAAGAGAAAAGGATAGGGAAAAGTAGTTAACGGACCACTCCAAATAGTGATGTGGACAAGGAGATCTAGATGGAAGTCTGCATCTCCCAAGGAAGAGCCTTTGACTTGGGTAGAGCTTTCTGTGGCAGATGCTGGGTGCTGATCATAATGACAGCTGGATGGTGCCTGTTAAGATGGTCATCTTGGCCAGGCTTGGTGGCTCAGCCTGTAATCCTAGCACTTTGTGAGGCTGAGGCAAATGGATTGCCTGAACCTGCAGGTTTGAGACCAGCCCAGGCAATTTGGCGAGACCTTGTCTCTACAATAAATAAAAAATTAGCTGGACTTGTTAGTGCATGCCTGGTTCTGGCTCATTGGAAGGCTGAGGTGGAAAGATCGCCGGAGCCCAGCAGGTTCATGCTGGGATGGCCGTGAGTGTGCCACTGCATTCCAGCCTTGGCGACGGGGTAAGACTGCAACTCAAAAAAAAAAGGTGATCATCTTGAGCTGGTGAAGACTCATAGTAAAGGGTGTGCCTGGTTATGTCCTTTTGTGATTGGGTGCAGATAATCCCTATTGATTAGGCAAACATCTGGTCCCTGTTGGCATGATACCTTTTGAAATGTAAGATGCAGTTACTTATGTCTGTGGGTTCTCTGTATACTAGGAATGTTGCCAAACATCTTTCAGTGCCTAGGACAGTTTCTCAACGTAGAATTATCTGCTCCAAAATGCCAGGCATGAGAAAATTAACCCAAACTATGATATAATTTTTTGGGGAGAATGGAAAGATGAGAAGGCTTTGTAGAATGGGAGTGGAATTAGTTAATTTGTCATCTTACATAGTAGAAGTCAATAGACTGCCTCAAACAAATAAATAGTATGTCTTTTTTTTCTCCTCTTGAGACATGGAGGTAAGTTAAAGAAAAAGAAAAGATGGCTAGTTTGTGTATGCCATCCAGTAGCCAGTCTGGGACTTGGGCAGTGGTCTATATTGTCGTAGTTCTCAGAGACTATTATATGTTGCTTATAGTCTACTCTGGGCATGTGCATTTTGGGATTGAGCCCATAATTTATAAACAGTCTCATGGGACTGTTTTCCAGAGCTGCTTTCTTTTTTTTTTTTTTGAGTTGGAGTCTCACTCTGTCACTCAGACTGCAGTGGCCACTCCCGACCACTGCAGCCTCGATGTGCTGGGCTCTGGCAGTACTTCCACCTCAGTCTTCCAAGTAACTGGAACTACAGGCGTGCGCTACCATGCCTGGCTAATTTTTGATTTATTGTGGAAATGAGGTCTTACCAAGTTGCCCAGGTGGGGTTTGAACCCGCGGGCTCAGGCAATTCACTCACCTCAGCCTCCCAAAGCACTGGGATTACAGGCTGAGCCACCAAGCCCTACTGAGCTGCTTTCTCTCAGGTACTTCTTTGTTCCCCAGGGCCTCCCTTTTTGGTCTTGTAGCCACAAAGCCACTGCTACACACAAAAAAGAAGTGGAGGTTAGCCTTACTCTTTTGGGACTGCACAGCTCTTGTGATTGGAGAGGAATGTTGTGATTGGAGAGGAGTGTTCCTATTTCTCTGAGTTTTAAGCTCTGGATCCCCATTGCATACCTGTAGTCCTAGCTACTTGAGAGGCTAAGGTAAAAGGATTGCCTGAGCCCAGAAGTTGAGGCTGCAGTGAGCCAGGCTCATGCCACTGCACTCCAGCCAGGGTGACAGGGTGTCAAAAAAAAAAAAAAAAAAAAATTCATAGCAAGAAATAATTGGCAGCTGCTTAATGACTGCTATAAATCCCATTCACTCAGATTTATGAATTTTAACTTGTATGTTTCACAGCAAAAGGGTTCATATCTTAATCACATATATGTGTATGTAATATGGTGTGGGTATATTATATATTACACATATATGTGTGTGTATATATATATACATATATATATATAAGAAATATGTCTTTCCTTTCTTTTCCCAACATTCTTGGAAAAGTCAATTCAGGATTTTAAAAAGTGAGTATATTTGAAAGTTTGAACTGAGGCTCTGCAGATAAGGCTCCTTGGGAAGTTTAGTGTGTTAATGAGCAACAGTATTGATTTCTTCTTTTCTAGTATTTCTTGATAATATTTCTATGTGAAGATTATTTTAAAAATAAAAATTGTATGAATATATTTGTGTTCTTATAAACATTTCTAGGCATGGGAGAAATGCTAGTGAAGGTTGTTTTCTTGCTTAACTTTTAGTTTGTTAGTGAGTGCTTCATGTTTAACCTCTGTACTTATACACAGAGGGTACACAGACTCAAAAAATTCTGTGAAGAGTGAGATACATGTGGTATCTTTACTCTTTCTCTCTTTTTTTGGGGAGGCTCATCTTCCTTATAGTAATTTCTCCCAAATATTAATTACTTCCTTGATCAGGACTGCTCTTGATCCCTTTTATAAGTTGGTGAGTTAGGGGTAAAGCAGTTAAAGTTACATCTGTTAAAATAGATCAGCAAATTGTTATAGTTTGTAACTGTAATTTTTGTATGTGCTTTGTTTTTGACAGCCGATTTATTTTGCATATTCCCAGCGAGGAAAGAGACAATGCAATCCGAGTGTGTTTTCAGATTGAACTTGCCCATTGGTTTTACTTGGATTTCTACATGCAGAACACACCAGGATTACCTCAGTGTGGGATAAGAGACTTTGCTAAAGCTGATATCCTTTTTATTACTATGACTGTCTTTCATTCTTGTTAATAATATATTTAAGCACATATTTCCTTTTACTTTTCTCTGCAATTTTTAAAAACCTGTTAGATAAAACTGACTTCTTTCTAAAAATTGTCAAATAAGATTAGTAGAAACAATTTAATGGTATTCTTATTTTTATATAGAGGGCTTCTCAAAATATACACTGGGGATTTGAATTAAATTTTGTTTTCTTTCTTTTGGAAATAGCTAACCTATTTGTAGAACTGATCTGTTTTTTTACCTTGTACTTGCTGTTCCATTTAACCAATTGATTTTTGATTAATTATCTTTCTGATTTACGTAGACATCTCTTAAGTAATTATTGAATATTCACTATGTTCAAAGCAATTTTTAGTTCTGTGGCAAATACAAAGAACTCTGCCTTCAAAGCAACTTTTCCCTCCCTATTTACATATTAGACAGAATCTTGTCATAATTTATTAGTTATAAAATACTCATATGACTATTTAAGGTTATAAAAGATGTCACAAGGCAAAGAACTGATGAATTGCTAATGGTTTTTTTTATTAAATGTTTTTAGAATTTTGAAAAAGGTGGAAATATTTTAGGCACGGCTATAGTTTTAAGGGAATATAGGATTTTCTAAATAGAAGTGGAGACTGGGTTTTGGTAAAGAAAACGGATTGTGTAAAATTGTAGATTTGAACAGTTATAAAGGATATCTCAGGAAGTAAATTAGTTTACATTGAGCAGAGGGCTCTCAAGGAGTCATAATAGGAGATATGATTGGAAAGGTATATGTGGAGAATGTGTGGGTTTTTAATTCAGCCATAGTGCTTTGACTTTTATTCTGTAGCCTTTCTTTTTTTTTTTTTTTTTTTTACGAGAGTCTCATTATCTTGCCCAAGGCTGGTCTTCAACTCCTGGACTCAAGCAGTCCTTACCTCTGCCTCCTGAGTAGCTGGGATTACTGGTGCCACTGTGCCCAACCAGGTCTTTTTTTTTTGCCATGAAACTGACATTCAAATGGATTTGTACCCATAAGTTTGTGTACTAGAACTGGAGCTGGAGTAGGGCTAGGTGACCTGAAATACCCTTACACTTGGCTCCCTGTCACTTTGCTTGAGCCCATGAAATATGGAATCCTTAGGGTTCTATAGAAAATGGATGAAACACTTTGTTCTAGATAACTGTTCACCATAGAGTAATTTTTTAAAAGCAAGGGTAAGAATATTACTCTGATAATTTGAAAATGGTATTCACAAAAGCTTTATTGGTTGAACTGGTACATCACTTGACCTGTATACAGAGCAGTATGGTTCTGACCCATAGTTGGGGGACTGCAAAGGAAACATTGATGGGAGACAGATTTCAAAAGAAGAGATGATCAAATTGTCTCACTGATTAAATGTGTAGAAGTTAATGAGGAATCAGAGGAGAATAGAAGTATATTGAGCACCATCTTTGGTTTTAAGGAGTTGTAATCTAGTTATGCAAACATTGAAACAGCAAAGTCCTCTTTTGTTTTGGTCATTTTTTATAGACTTATGGTTCTGCTAGAACAACTTTACATATTTTGGGGTTCTAGATAAGATTTTGTACTTGTATATACATGAGTTTTACACTTTCCTTCCTGCCAAAAAATCATCAAAAGCCTCTGTTTTAGTTATGTTTCTTTAAGTTACATGGAGATGGAACTTTTATTGCTATTGTGATAGCCTTCGTTAAATAACTGCGTGGTTACTCTGTGCCAGGCATTATGCCATGAACAAGGCAGACCAGTATCTTTAAGAAGTTGAGAGACGGGAAAGGAAATGATTACGTGCAGTGTGGTAAGATAGGATAGGGTGGTACAGTGTTCAGTGGGAACAGAGGCGAGGGATACCCAAGTCAAGATTTGGGGGCTATGATTTTGAATTCTGACTTGGCTACTGGAGGATCTTGGGTAAGTTATTTAATTTCTCTTAGATGAGGATCCCAGTTTTGTCCTAAAAAATAAAGTTAATAGTGCCTAATTCAAAGGATACATTTGAGAATCACGTTAATTTGTATGTGCAAATTGTTTGACTGGCCCATAGTAAATGGTCAATAAATGTTAATCATTACTCCTTCTGCCCTTCCCCCAAAAATGATTGGGGGCTAGATAAAAGCCTTGTTTGGAGAAAATGACCTATATGAGGAAATCTATGAGGAAGTTAAAAAGTTAAATGTGGTTGTATTTTTTTTTCTTATTTGGAGTCTTACTCTGTCGACCAGGCTGGAATGCAGTGGCACGCTCATAGCCGCCCCAGCGTCAACTTGCTGGGCTCTGGCGATCCTTCTGCCTCAGCCTTCCAAGTAGCAGGAACTACAGGTGTGCTCTAGTACGCCTAGCTATTTTTTGATTTATTGTAGAGACCAGGTCTTGCAAGTTGCCCGGACCAGTCTCAAACCCGCAGGCTCCCAGTGTGCTGGGATTACAGGCTGAGCCACTGAGCCTGGCCCTGTTCTATTTTTACAATAAGTGGAGAGAGACAAGAGATGATACTGTAGTGTAATTTAGGGGCTAAAACATATAGCAGTCTTGTGGGCCATATTAATTTGAAAAAGATAATGTGGATTTTTTTTTTTAACATTCAATTTTATTTTGAGAAAAGAAACTTTAACTTACAGAAATAGAGAATATTACAGAGAACTGTCATTATACTCTTTAACTGTAATCAATCACAGATATGTTAACATTTTCCCTCATTTGCTTTATTTCTCTCTGTAGAGGTGTTTCGAAAGACTACTCTGGAATAGTATGGTCAGTGAATTGGAGGAAAGCAAGATCGGAGATTTGGAACCTAGTTAAGATGTTTCATTTATTTACTAGAGAAATAGTGAAAACCTGTTTTAGTGAAAGTGAGCAGAAGAGTTCAAATTTGAAAGGTAATTAGGAGGTAAAATTGGTGATAACTTGGATACCTGAGGAGAGGTAGAAGAAAGGATGGTACCCAGTTTTCTCCTGTGAGCAGCTGAGTGGATGAGTATGTCATTCCATTCATAGGAAAATAAGACATTTTGTGGGAGAGGTTTGGTTATGGGCAAGTTGTTTGTAGTATATACTGGGTATTGGGGTGGAGAGGACTACATACTATGATGTTCGTAGCATAAGCTCTAGAGCTACATTCTTTGAGTTAGCATCCTAACTCATTTCTGCCACTTACTAGCTATATGTCCTTGGGTAAATTGTGGGACTTTTCCTACACCTCTTCTTTTTTTGTAAATTGCACGTAGTCTTGTAATTTTTCTTCAGTGAGCACTCAGCAATGTGGATATAGACAAGAGTATCTATCCTGAATTTGCTCCTGGGCTGAAGTTTTGTTAGAGATTTTAGTAAACATGTAAAGCCACTTTTAGAATCTGGAAGTATTCATAGCATCCAAGTGTTTATCTTTCCCCCACTCTAATGAAGGCATGGAATAATTACGTTGAGGTTAATATGGTGCTTGTCTTTTAATTACAATGTTGTCATAGATGATTGACTTCTTTGGACACTTAGAACCTATTTTGTTACTACTATAAATTTTAAATTATAAAATTTAGAATTCATAAAATTCTCAAATTAATAAAATAAACTTTATGCGATTTTTAAATTTAAACCAGGCTCTTAATCACAATGTGAATATAATGGTGATTTCTTTGAGAGTATTTTGAGGTTGATGTGCCCGTACTACCTGTACTTCCACCACCTTTCTCTGCTCCATATAAAACCTTCCTTGCTATATTATGTTGGTATATCGTTTGACCCTAATGCATTGTCTGTGTGTTAGGTTTCTTCTGTTTTTCTTCTGTTTTTTAATTTTTTTTGAGTTGGAGTCTCACTATGTAAGTCTTACTCCAGGCTGGAGTGCATCGGCACACTCATGACCACCCCAACGTCAACCTGCTGGGCTTCGGTGATCCTTCCACCTCAGCCTTCCAAGTAACCGGAACTACAGGTGTGCGCTATCACACCTGGATAATTTTTTTTTTTAATTGTAGAGACGAGGTCTCACCAAGTTGCCTGGGCTGATCTTGAATTCATAGACTCAGGCAGTCCACTCACCTTGGCCTCCCAAAGTGCTGGGATTACAGGCTGAGCCATCGAACCTGGCCTTTTTTTTTTTTGAGTTGGGGTCTCTTCTTGTAGCCCAGCTTGGAGTGCAGTGTCAGGCTCACGGCCACTGCAGCCTCGACCTGCTGGACTCAGTTAATCCCTGCGCCTCAGCCTTCCAAGTAGTTGGAACTTCAGACTCACGCTACCATGCCTGGCTTATCTTCTGATTTTTTGTAGAAACGAGGTCTCATCAAGTTGCCAGGCTGGTCTCAAACACCAAAATTACCTATTACTAAAGATTATATAGAAAGATAAATCTGAGTACTGAGAAAGTATAACCAGTTTCAAAGAAACTGAGCCAGTCCTCTTCCCAAACTACTGGGCAGTGTAAACCCAAACTAGGCAGTGTAAAATAGTAAAAATTATATAAAACCCCAAACCCTGAAGTTGTAATGCTCTGACTTCCAATATTCCATGTCATCAAATGCCACATTACTATAATTGTTAACTGATTATTATAATTTATGATACAGTGTGCCTCAAGTCTTCTATAAAAGCTTGTATACTTGGTGTTTTATTTTTGACATTAATCTAAAAACATGTAACAGAAGCATATTTTCAATTATCTGGAAGTTTACATGTATCAAATACCACCACTTGATTTCAAAGACCATATTGGTACTAGCACTAATTAATTGCAGTGGGCTATTAAAAATAGAAGTCCAGGTGCGGTGGCTCAGCCTGTAGTCCCAGCACTTTGGGAGGCCGACACGAGAGGATTGTCTGAGCCCGTGGGTTCAGGACCAGCCTGAGCAACATGGCGAGACCTCTTCTCTACAAAAAATTAACCAGGTGTGGTGGCATGCACCTGTAGTTCCAGCTATTTGGAAGACTGAGGTGGAAGGATCGCCTGAGCCCAGCAGGTCGAGGCTAAGGTGGCCCTGAGCATGCCACTGCACTCCAGCCTGTGTAACAGAGTGAGACTCTGACTCAAAAAAAAAAGAATTTGACCACTTAATGAGAAGTCTTTGAGGTGTTTACATGGTCCTGAATTAATTTGTGTTAACTCAGGGATCCAGGATTATGAGTACTCAAAACTTACTTGATTTGTGTTTACATTAAATACAGAAATTGAGTGACTTGTTTAAGAGAAAACACATGTGGAAAAATGAATAAAATAAAAGTTAAACTTAAGTGAGGTGAAGATTTGCATAATTTCACATAAAATACACAGTTGATTTAAAAGGTCACTTTTAAATCAGTATATAATTTCTCAAGCTGTACTAAGGGAGAAAGCTTCCTTAACATTATTTATACTCTTCAGTCATTGTCCATTTTTGCTGCCTCAAGGTGAAGATGTGGAAAAAGTTTTGGATGAATGGAAGGAATATAAAATGGGAGTACCAACATATGGTGCAATTATTCTTGATGAGACTCTTGAAAATGTGAGTGTAACAAAATAACAAGATTTTTAGTGAAATAGTGATCAACTCTTAATTTTTAGACCTGTTAACAAAATTTGTTATTCATGGGGTATTCTGAATGAAGATCTTAAATTATGCTCAGATTTTTAGTGTTTAAAAAGCCAAATTTTATTTTGTCTGTATTCTCAGTCTTAAGATTTTATGCTTGTGGCAGTTATGACTTAGTACAAAAAAGTATCACTTCATTGTTGAAGAAATTTTTTTTTAAATGGGTACAGTGTCTTCACACTAATAGTAGTTTAGTCAGACTCTTGGAAGGTACTTAAACTGAATATTATGTAAAATTATTGGTGATTAACTATTACCTGACGTAACAAGAAAAATATCTTTGATTTTATAAAGGAACAAGGGAAAGGAGGTCAAATTTGATTTTTACCTCTGCTTCTTTTATAGGTACTACTGGTTCAGGGGTACTTAGCAAAATCAGGCTGGGGTTTTCCAAAAGGAAAAGTAAATAAAGAAGAAGCTCCTCATGATTGTGCTGCTAGAGAGGTAAGTTATTGCAGTCTGAAATATTTTTTTGAGCAACTCTATCCACGTTATTGGCAGAAATTCTTACACATTTTTTTCTAAAATATAATAAACTCATTCACTCACTGCTTTTGCCTATGGAGGAGCTTTAATATCAGGAGCCCTACTGGAAACTGAGCTCACAAACTGCCGGCTTCTTGCCAGCCTTTGGCTTCAGTTACTTCAGTGTCTGCCAGACTGCCAGGGACAGGGTGGAACTAGTGATCTAAAAGTTCTAAAAGTGCTTCTAAAAGTTCAGGCAGGATTACCAAACCATCCATTCCCACTGGCATTGGATTCTTACTCTCCACTACTATAGTCACTGCTGAGCTGCCCACTTCTTGAAACTCAGGTGGAGTCTCATTTCTTGTCCTGAGGGTTCCTGTTATTGTTGACCTTGTCTTCAAATCATGTTGTGGAGTGCCAGGGCAGTAGCAGGACCTGGTTTTGGGAAGCAGATACTTTGCTCTGCCATATGCATCCTAACTTTCCTGTGGGTCACTGTGGCCTACAGCTTCTTCAGGTCCTTGTTTCTGTTCAATTAGGGCAAAGAAAGGTTGTTTTCAGGGTCAGTGTGTCTCAATAAACCTGAGATACATGTTGATGACTGTTTCACACGTTACCACACATTAGAAAATTATATAAAATATTTTGATTTTTTTGGTCATAAATAAGTTCCTTAGTGTCCAAAATTCCATTGTAAGCAAAATATCATTACAATAAAATAATTGGTTCCAATGCTATGCCGTTTAATATGAAGTGATTTATTTTTCACTATTTCATTAAAAAGCAGTCAAGTTGCTGGTAGGTGATCCATGTGATATCCTGAGTGCAAAGGGTTAAGTTTGGGTGCAGTTGTTAAGGATAGTACTGCTAGTGGTTATTTACTTTGGATTAAAAAACAATTGGAAATGCTTTTTTTTTTTTTTAAAGAGACAGTGTCTCACTGTGTCACTCAGGCTGGAGTACAGTGGATAATATTAACTTACTTTAACTTCGAAACTCTTAGGCTCAATCAGTCCTCCTCCCTTAGCCCCCAAGTAGCTGGGACTACAGGTGCATTCCACCACACCTGACTAGGTTTTAAATTTCTTGTAGAGACTTTGTTGCCCAGGCTGCTCTCAAACTTTTGACTTCAAGTGATTCTTGCACCTTTTCCTCCTGAAGTGCTGAAATTACAGGCATGATCCACCATGCCCAGCCTGAAAATGCTGTATTTTAAATTGGGTATGGAACAGCTTTTCCAGGCTAGTATCTACAATGGCATATAAATAAAGCTGTTGTATATAGGTAAATGAAAGTTTATATACACCCCTTAAAATTGAAAGCTGTTTGAGATGAGGAATTGCCACATTTCCTAAGAACTCTTCCTTTTCTTTTGGTAGATGGCAAATGAGATGGAGCAATTGTAAAGTATTCCCTTTTATGTCCTTAAACTTTATAGTTCTTTTGCTCATAAGAAAGGACAAAATAGGGAACCATAGTATCCTACTTAGAGGAATTGATCTGTAGTTCTGTACATGGAGTTAGACTAATCTTAATGCAGCAAGGTAGTTGTCCAACTCAGGAAAGGTCATTACATTAGCTGGAATAACAAAAATTTAGGTTAAATTGGGTGGAATCAGCTGTATCTATCACTGGGTCTTTTGAGAGAAAGTTGAGAGAAATTAAAAGTACAATAACTCCCTCTTATTGTTGGGGATATATTCCAAGTTAGATGCATGAAACTGCAGATGATAGGGAACCCTACATACACTATTTTTTTTTCTATACATACATATCTGTGATAAAGTTTAATTTATGAATTAGGTACAGTAAGAGAATAGAACAATTTTAATGATATACTGTAATAAAAGTTTTTTGAATGTGATCTCTTTTCTCAAAATATCTTATTGACACTATTTTTTTTCTATACATATCTGTGATAAAGTTTAATTTATGAATTAGGTACAGTAAGAGAGTAGAACAATTTTAACGATATACTGTAATAAAAGTTTTTTGAATGTGATCTCTTTTCTCTCTCTCAAAATATCTTATTGGGCAGTATTCATCTGTTTTTCAGACTGTAGATGACCATAGGTAACTGAAACCTGAAAAACAAAACCTCAGATAATGGGGGACTACTTTTCCAAAACGTAGAAAAATTAAGAAGTACCCCAGACTCAAGAGCTCGACATGAATCCACCACTAGAGCCCTTTATTTGAAGAGTTTTATGCATTATATTTTAAAGAGAATAGTGCAGAAATGGGATTTTTAAGGAAAGAGAGAGAGTCAGTTTAACCTGTGACTTGAGGTACTCAGTTTTTGCTTTGGTTTATCTGACTTGTTTTCTGTTCTAAGATACTAAGATAAAAGGTTTTCCTGTCTATGTGGTGCTAATTTCATTAATGACTGTAACCATAATTTGTAAGAAAATATATAAATTTATTTTTAGGGCAAGAGGAGTGGGAAAATTTGTTTTTAGGGCAGGTTCTGTAGGAGGTTGTCATTTCTATTTTATGTGATGAAACTGAAACAGCAGTTGAGTTACAAGCATATCTGATTTTTTGTTAACGTTTAGCTTTCTTATTTGGATCAGTATGGATTTTTTTTTCTGTTTTCAATTCATGTCTTGCTCTAAGGGAAGGAAAATCATTTTGAGGAACCATAGTCCTTTAATTTCAGGAAAAAGTTTTTCCCTTTGATAATAAGAATTAATCCTAACTTCTGAATGTTTTGATCTCAGTGAATTCCCCTTATAGCTGATCAAGGAACTGGGCAGAAAATACTTGGCTTTAACTTCTGTAGATTTTTAAATTGGAATTTTTAAAGACAAGTTTGACTTCTATTACTGATTTTTAAATAACTAACTTTGTCTTAAGGAAAAGTTTTGGGATTAAGGTGAAGTGTTGCTGTTTTGATCTGCCTGGGCTGCCATAACAAAATGTCATAGACTGAGTGACTTAAACAACAGAAATTTATTTCTCAGCAGTTTTGGAGGCTGAGTTGTCCATGTTACATGACCATCTGATTTGGTTCTTGGTGACGTCTCTCTTTCTGGCATATCAATGATCACCTTTTTGCTGTGCACACATGTTTTTCTTGGGTGTGTGTATAAAGAGCTCTGGTGTCTCTTTCTCTTATAAAAAAGGCTCCAGCTCTAACAAATTAGGTGCCTTTACGTGCCTCATTACGTGCCTCATTTAACCATTATTATCTCCTCGCTTTCCTGTTTCCAAATGCAATCACATTGGAGACTAGGGCTTCAGCATATGAATTTAGGAGCATCAGGAGGACGGGACACAGTTCAGTCCATTGTAGTTGCCACCTTTTTTTTTTTTTTTTGAGTCAGAGTCTCACTCCGTCGCTAAACTGGGAGTGCAGTGGCCG